CCTTCCTGGTCTCCCCACCGCCAGCAGCGACCCTGAACCCCATCCTCGTTCCACGACAGCATCTGTAGCTCCTCACTGCCGTCAGGAGCTCTCAGGATCTGCTGCCCAGCGTTCCCCCCACCCCGTGCCCGGCCCGGACTCCAGACGCACCGGGTCCGGACAGCTGGCTTCCGGGCCTGTGCACGTGTGTCTCGGCCGCCGGGACTGTCTGCGGGCCGAGGCGACCGGCGTCAGCCGCCTACTCCGTCTTCCAGAGCCGATTCAAATGTCACCGCCCCGTAAATCTCGGCCTCTCGGGAGCGTGAGTCACTCCTTCCGCTCAGGTCCCTGCCTCCTGCTCTTTGTGCTTTCACCCAGGCAAGGGCCGCGTGTGGCTCGGGTCCTGACACTGAGGTCTCGGGGCCTGACACCCGGGCGCTCAAACAGTCCCTGCGTGAGCGGCTGAGTGAGGGTGCGCTCTCTCTACGAGTAGGGATGGATGAAGGAGCTTAACCTCCACGTTCAAACCCATGCGGACTGTGGTCCCCAGTGACCTCTTCCTCTTCTTCACTCCCTCTCTTAGATGCGGGGCCCAGGGGTCTTTATGTTCTCGATGAGGGCAAAGCGCGGGTGCTTCAGCTTGTTTCCCGCCGCGGGGTCCCTGCACACGCCACCCCCCACCTAGGACACTGCTCCTTGTGCGTCTTGCATTCTCTTTCTCGGATGTCAACCCACTCTGCCCGGAAGGGGCCTCCCCGGCGGCTCTCTGGCCACACCCCCCTTTGTGTGTCTCGTGTCACATCAGGATCGGTTATGGAGCGTCCCTGGTTTTGTGTTCACGGCCCATCTCCGTCCACAGAGCATAAGCTCCCAGGGGCTGGGAAATGAACTGGTGCTGTTCACCGCAGTGCAGGGAGTGAAGAACGGGGCCTGGAGCATAGCAGGTGCTCAGCAAGTAGCTGAAGAAGAATGGGGAATGAATGAATGAATGAATGAATGAGGCTAAGAATCATTGTGTCCAGTCATACACGGAGCACCCTGAGAGGTCTCTGTTTCCTCGTCAGCTCCATCGGTCTAGGCACTGCCCCCCACGCTGGGCAGCACCCTCAGTGCCCAGGGTCTGAGGGACCATGGCTGCTGTCATCAGATTAACAACAAGGACTTCAGACAGGGACAGCGGGGTGCTCGGGTCAGCAGCTGGTTCCCACCAAATGGGGCTCTCAGGCTGAGGAAGAGCCAGCCTGCAGCCCTGGGTCAGAACGGAGGCTCTGCCACTCACTCACAGTGGGACCTTGGGCACATCTCCTCCTTTCTCTGAGCCTCAGTTCTCCCCATCTGTAGAATGGGGGCAGTGCCCTGTGCCCTGTGGCCTGGCCTGGCTGAGGGTATGAGGCAGGTGCTGGGCACACTGTGGGCGTGTGGGTAGTGTTACTTTATGTTTTTGCCTGTGATGAGGGGCGGGTTGTGGGTGTCTAAGGCAGGCAGGCCAGGACATGGGCATCATAGCTCAGGCAGTAGGAGCGGAACCTGAGAGGCAGCGTCTGGCCTTCCCGAGGATGTACAGCCTCGGAGCCTCGGGAGCTCTCAGCCTCCCTCCCCGCCCCACCTGGGTCCTTGTCCAGGCGCCTGTCCTCACCTGGACAACCTTTTCCTGCCGGCACTTCCCCCAGCCTGTGCGACCTCCCCTCGCCTGCCCGTGCCATCTCCACCTGCCCCACCACCTCCACCACGCCAGGCAGCCTCACCCACACGGTGCAACCTCTCTCCCTCCTGCAGCCACATGGCACCCAGCCCCTTTCCCCAGACCAGGAGGGGCTGGGTGAGAGGCAGAGAAGGACAACATGCTTTCAACCACAACTGCTTGAGGCCACGAGTTGGGGTTGGGGGGTGGGGATGGGAGTGAAGGGAGGAGGTGGGGGGCAACCTGCCTTTGCCCCTTTCGTGCCCAGCAGGCCCCACCAGCCTGCCCTGGCCTGGCGCCAGCCTGAGTGTCCCTGGTTTGTGCTGGAGAAAGTTTTCAGGTCCCGGTCCCAGTCTCCATCATCAGGCAGAGGAACTCGGGGCCCAGAGAGGTGCAGAGGCTCGCCCCAGGATGCACAGCGAGGAGGGACCCAGTCGCTAGCCTCACTCCGTGGGGACAATTTGCATAACCAGATCCCCCTGGGAGCTGCGGGGACCAGCTGCTGGGCTCCTGCGGCAGGTGCTCCGGCCATTGGGGCCCTCAGGGGCCCCTGCCCACACCCCGGGGAAGTGGATATTCTCAGGTTGCTTCAGAATTTCCACGTTTACTCAGAGCTCTCTTTTGAGCTGTCATAAAAAGTCCCTCTGGCTGGGCGCCAGGGCGAGGGGTGGGGGGTGGCTCCTCCCACTCCCCCTCCCCCACCCCGGGCCTGGGCGGCCCTGGGGGGCGGGGGAGACAGGTGCATGTGAGGAAAGGGCTGTTAGGGAGCCCTGGTTCCCCGTCTCCCAGCTTTCTTCCCTCTGCTTGTAAATGGCTTCCTGGTGACCCTAGAGAGACCCACCCTCGCCGAGCCTCAGTCCCTGGGAGCATGGGGAGTAGAATCACTTATTGAGGGCCTAGCCCTAGCCTGTGCCAGTGTCCTAGCTAATCACAGGGGGATGATTGCCGATAATATTGAAAGTAGAACCTCAGAGCTGCCATTCCCGTGAGCACTGCTGTGCTCTGGCCGCCTCGTCCTCGCACGGGCCGGCTGGCTGTGCCCACTGCGTCCCGGGAGCAGGGCAGTGCCGGTGCACAGTAGGTGCTCAACAAATACCTGTGGGACAAAACCCCACCACAAGCTCAGACAGGCGCTCTGCGTCCACATAACAGACGAGGAAACGGGTTCCGAGGGGCTCGTGGCTGCCTCGGGTCACACCGCTGGGACTCAAACCCAGGCCTGGCTGCTTCCAAAGCCCTGTCAGCCACCGTGAGGCTCTGCTCCCGCCCTGAGCTTCCTTCCTCTCTTCACCTCTCTCTCTCTCTCTCTCTCTCTCTCTCTCTCTCTCTCTCTCTCTCTCTCTCTCTCACCAGGAAGGCTGAGGTGCTGCAGAGAAGCTGATGCCTCTTTCCACCTGCTCTTTCCACCTCCCCCAGCATGCCCCATCCCTGCCCACAGCCTTGGGGGGCTCCAGCCCCCCTCTTCCTCTCCGGGGAGGGGCAGGCCTGCAGCACCCCGAGGGCTCAGCCTCCGCCTTGCTTGCCCCTCTGCCAGCCCTGGGTCTCGTCCACCTGCTAACACGGGGCTCCTGGGTGCCCCATCCAGACCCCCTGCCCCGTGTGGGGTGGGCAGTGCCAGGGCTTCTGGTCCTGGGGGTCCAAACCCAGCTCTGCCTCTTACAGTCCCAGGTGACTGGGGGCAAGGTTCTCCCCACTGAGCCACACTCGCACCCCTGAAATGAGCTAAATGAGGCCAGCAGCCTCCCCTGTGCTGGGGGACATGGGAGGCCCTCGAGTGCCTGCAGCGTGCCGAGCACCGAAGCCAGGGAGGCCGGACCAAGGGAGGCAAGACTGTGGCACCCGAGGGGGCCCTGCACCTTCTCTTGCCCGTGGAGAGTGGTCCTCCCCCCGCCCTGAGCTCCAGGCTGCAAGGGCTGTAAGTTCCCTCCTGGGAAGGCCTCCAGCCAGCAGCTCTCCTGTTTTTATGACTTCAAATCCTCACAGCCCGCCTCACAGGATGGGGCAGCCTTTGTTCCCATTGTACAGATGGAACCACCGAGGCTCCAAGGAGCTAGAAGAGCCACAGAGACTTGCCAAGCTTACCCAGTCCCGCATGGCTGGGCTCTGACCCCCGGTTTTCCCCGCTCTGCCACGTGCCTCCGAGAGCCCTGCCCTTCCCCCGGGACACAGGTGCTTTCCCCCGCGGCCTGGCCCCGTGATGCCCCTGCCCCCACCCCCCCCGCCCAGCGGCCTGACCCTGTGATGCCCCCCCGCCCCCCCTGCGGCCTGACCCTGTGATGCCCCTGCCCCCCCCCCCCCGCCCAGCGGCCTGACCCTGTGATGTCCCCCCCCAAGCGGCCTGACCCTGTGATGTCCCCCCCCAAGCGGCCTGACCCTGTGATGTCCCCCCCCAAGCGGCCTGGCCCTGTGATGTCCCCCCCCCCAGCGGCCTGGCCCTGTGATGTCCCCCCCCCCAGCGGCCTGGCCCTCTGATGCCCCTGCCCGGGCCCTGCGGCCGCCCCCCACCCCCAGTGGCCCTGCCTCGGTAATGCCCCTGCCCCCTGCCCTGGGCCCTCTGCTCTGGCCGAGCACAACTTGCCATCCTCCCATGAGCCCTCGGTTCCCACTCCAGGCCTCGCTGACCCGCTCCCCTGCCAGGCCTGTGCCTGTCCCTGCTTTCGCCTGTTTCAGCCAGAAACGGGCCCACCCTCCAGGGCTCAGCCTCGGCCCCAGCCCAGCGCACAGCTCCCCACCCCATCGCCTGGCCCCCTTCTTTCATGAGAGAGAGGAGACAGCACGTGGAGGACAGGACCAGCCCCAGCCACTTGCTCCCCGCTGCCTGCGTCACCCTGGGAAAGTCTTCCCACCGCTCCGAGCCTCAGTCCTCTCTCTGGGAAATGGGCACATCAACTCATGTGAAGCATCAGATACAATGAGGGGATAAGACACAGAAGTTCGCGTGCGGTCAGTGCTTCCCACTCACCCCCAAATGGCCTCTAGCAGCGACATGATCACACCAGCCCACCCTGCCCCGTTCAGCTGCCCAGAACACCGGGACTGTCGGTCACATTTGATCTAGAACTGGCTCCCCCCCCCCAACGCCCTGCCGCGGGGAGGCTGGTTGTACAGAGTCCCTGGGCCGCCCGGCCATGCCTGCCCCGGCCCCCGGCCGCCAGCAGACCCCACAGAGGCCCTCCGTGCTGAGCCGGGCTGAGCCGGAGATGCCAGCCCAGCACTGCTGGCCTCACTCATGTCCCAGCCGTGCTGAGGGCCCAGGATCCCTCTTCGCCCTCCACTCAGCAAGGCCGGGCCCTCCGGGCAGAGAGCGTGCCCGTGCCCCTGCCCAGCGCAGAGGAGTTACCTGCCATTCCAGCTCCTTCCTCAGAAGTCCATTCCGCGAGCTCAGGGCACTCCGTGGCTCCAGGGGGCAGCAGGCTCCGTGCGGTGGGAGCACAGGCAGGACTCTCGGGCAGCAATCCACACCCCACACCAAGTCAACCTCCAGACAGGATGCCACCTGTGCCCCGGGCAGAGGGACGCTGGGCCCTGGGCAGGCAGGCCACGCAGGGGTCAGTCACGTCCCAGAGCGGTCAGACACGGACAGAAGACGGTCATCGTGGGGCAGGGACCAGTCGGCTGTGCAGAGATGGACAGACGGCAGGCAGGGGCTGGCCAGGCAGACAGGCGGGAGGCAGGCGGGCAGAAGGTCAGGCAGGCTGCCACTGGGGCTCAGGGAGCAGCAGGCAGACATGGAGCCCCGAGCCCATCAATGGCTCGGCAGACGGCCCCCCGTGGGTCCCTCAGAAGCAGCCGCCGCTGACTAGCTGCCCGGAGTGTGTGCAGGGTGAGGAGGAAGGGGAGGAAGAGGAGGATGTGGTGAGAGCTGCCCACTGCCCCGCCCACAGAGCAGCTGGCTCCTCCCAGAGGCAGTGAGAAAGAGGTGGGAGGGCCCACTGCTCTCCAAGGTCATGACCCAAGGGCAGGCAGGCAGGAGGGGTGTGGAGGTGCCATACTGGACAGGGAGGCCCCTGGAGGTCCTGAGCGTCCACCTCTCAGCTCAGAGAGAAGACCAAGAGCCCGGTGCCCTGGTGCAGCCATGGCAGTGACCCCACCGCAGCCCCTCTCCCAGTCTGGTCTCTGGGCATGCTGCCTGGGGGCCCAGGGGAGGTCTGGGACCTCCCCAGATTTTTGAATCCAGCCTGTGGATTCAAAAGCAGGGTCCACATCCTACAGGAGACAATCCCTTGGGCATATCACATCACCTCTCTGAATGCCTCCCTTTGCCCATCTGTTAAATGGGGACACAGCCATTGGACCTGGGGAATCCAGGAGGAAATCAGAGAAAAGGATTCTAAAGAGGGTTTCATCTTGCGGACGAGCCGGGGGCCGGTGAGAGGGTCAGATCTCCCAGGCTGACCTTGGAAAAGCCAGGTGCAACATTCAGCAAACGCCTGCAGCCAAGTCAGGGGGCACGAGCATGGCGGCAGCCGTGGCTACTCTGACTCTTTCAGTTTGTGGGCTCCTGGGTGATCTCACTGTATCCACAAACCCCGTGAGGCAGACGAGGTTATTCCCATTTCACGGGTGGAGAAACCGAGGCCCAGAGGGTGGAAATGTCACACACGCTGAGCCGTGTCCCCGCCAGGGTTTGAACCTGTGGAAATGGGCCCGGTGTTTGGATGGCAGGGGCCGGCTCAAACCCGCACATCATCACTTCCCCACTGACTCATTTTTGGGAAACAATTTGCAGCTAACCCACATGTCCGGTCCAAAGGGGGAAAAGAGAAAGCATCTTGCTGTTTATTTCTTCTTCTTTTTTTTTTTTTTTTTCCTTTTTCTTTCTCTGGTTGTTTTTGAGGAACTTGGCTGATGGGAAGGATGTGGCGTTCTCTGGAGAACAAGCCTTGGGAGAAAGCCAGCTCTTTACTTTCTGTCTCTCCATCTTCCGGGCGAGGTGTCTGATCCCCGGGATCGGAGGTTGGCAAGAGCGGGAAGAACCAGAGAAGGGGGAGCAGCGCTTGCTCTGTGCCCAGGACTCGCAGGATGCAGTACCTCAGCCGGAATGAGCCGAGAAAATCTTTATTATCACCGCCGTCATCCTTATTTACAAATACAAACACTCAGGCATGAGAAGTGCAGCTACTTGCCCCGTGTGCAGGCCATCCGAAGGGTGGGAGCTGGGCACAGAGGGCGGCAGGTACAGAAGGCCACCCGGCTGGAAAGCCCCGGGCGCCTAGCAACCGGCAAAACTGGGAAAACAGGGACCTCGCCCCCAGCGTGACCTTTCCTCCCTGGCACATGGCTGGTCCTGTGGTTTGGACACTCCCCTGACCTTCCCTTCCCTGGCAGGCTGCTCATCATGCAAGTCAGACCCCCTTGGAGGAGGGGGGAGGGAAATAGACCAGGAGCCAGAGAACAGCCTTAAGCATTTTTAAGGGGAACAGTGAGCTCTGACTCGTATGCATCAAATACATGGAGGCCTCCTTTGTGTTTCGGCTCCAGACCCAGAGAAGCAGCAAAACCAGACAGGCCACCCCATGGCTGCCTCAGGAGCAGCCGCACTGATGCATGACCCCTGGCACTGACCAATCAGTGGAGACCAGGACCCTGAAAGCGCACAGCTGGGAAGCTGAGAACATTCTATTTGGATTCTCCCCTGGGACCTCCCCTAAGATCCCTGCCCTCAACAGCCCTTTGGACTGAGGAACCCGCTCCTCCTCTCCCTCCACGCTCCTCTCCCTCCATGGAGGCCCTGTCTCCCCAGGAAGCACACCTGTGCCTTCCCCTCCCCTCATCTGCCCCCTAGGGGTTACCTTCACCTTTCTGTCTCCTGGGCTCCAAGGGCCCTCCTTCTGCCTCCACAACTTGTTTCAGAGCCCATTTCCTCTATTGCTCACTTCTCCCGCCTCTGTGACTTTCCAAACAACTTTCTCTTATGCTTTGTCTTGGCCCTGAATTGTTTCTGAGCCAGAGCTCAAGAACCAAGGATGCTGAACAGAGGTCCGATCATCAGAAACATTTTGGTGCTGTTCTGCCACACAGCTGGGACTGAACTCAGTCCCCTGGGCTCCTGAGTTTACATTATCATTTATCTTTCTCTTAAAATGTATTTTTATTGATTTCAGAGAGGAAGGGGGAGGGAGAGAGAAATGGAAACATCAATGATGAGAGAGAATTATTAATCAGCTGCCAGGGAGCCCGCAACCCAGGCATGTGTCCTGTCTGGGAATAGAACTGTGACCTCCTGGTTCACAAGCCCGTGCTTAACCACTGAGCGACACCAGCCAGGCTGCTCTTAACATTCTTGGTCACTCATTTCCCTTCTGGGTGTGTATTAACCCCCTGTCTTCCTCTCTTCCCCCTTCCTGCCTGTCTGTCTTCATCCCTTATCTCCACCCACCCACTCACCTACCTACCCACTCATCATTCTTCGTTTTTTATTTAGAGACAGAAACATCACCTTTTTGTTCCACTTATTTATGCATTCATTGGTTGGTTCCTGTATGTGCGCTGACTGGGGATTGAACATGAAACCTTGGGTATCAGGATGACTCTCTAACCAATTGAGCTACCTAGCCAGGGTCCCCACTCATTCATTCTTCTATCCACCCACCTGCCCAACTACCTGTTCTCTCCTTCCTGCCTTCCACCCACATACTGAGCAGGCCCTTGAGTATGCACTGCGGATACTGTCAGGGTTTGGCTATAGTGACACAGACTGTGAAAGAATTCACAACGAAGGGAAAAGATGCAGAGAGGAAGTTTATTTTACTTTGAAAAGCTACAGTTTGTTTGCTTTCCAGGAGACAGATGTCCTAAGGAGGTGTCTGATCAGTGTTTTCCCCCAAGTCTGTAAAACATGCCTGGAGCAAAAGTTATGAAGAGTTCAAAGAGGCTTGTTTGAAGGCTTGGAGGTGGGCAGAGTGGGGAAGGGAACTTTCTACTAACTAGAGATTCCTTGGTGCAGATTATCCCTGAGTTGTGAAAACAGCAGGGAGGAGGAGGAGGATGCAAGAATGTAGCCTTGAGAGTAGCTTCTCTTGTCCCAAGGTTTGAACAGAGTTGTTTGAGTTTTAAAATCTTGGAGTTTAATTACCAGGTGCTTCTCATACATTGTAGAAAGCCATAGCAAAGAAAAGGAAAGGCTTTTTCTTACAGATATCCCGCAGAAATATATACAAGTGGCAGCCCTCATGGAGCCTGTATGCTAGTGGGAAGTAACAGACACAAAGAAATAGTGGACAAACTACACAAATGTTCATAGGAACTAAACTAAGTGTCATCGAAAGCCAATGAGGGGGCAAGGTGGCGACATTTAGGGGCAGGCTGGATGATACGAAGGACCCAGCCTTGGGGAAACATTTTAGGCAGAAGGAACTGCAAGTGCAAAGGCACTGAGATGGGAAGGACATGTAGCTTGCTCCAGAATCCTGAGAACAGAGTGACAAAATAGAGTGAGCAAGCAAAGGGACACCGGGGGCTAGGGTCACGGAAGTCACACATCTTGTGTACCACAAGGGGCCTCGCAGGGCAATGCATGAAGGTAGGCTTGGTTCCAGAAGAAATTGAATCATCTGAGGTTATCATCCGAGCAGTGGTTTAATTCAATTTACAGTTTCAAAAGAGTGCTCAGGTCATAATTCGGCAAGTGGATGGGATGAGGCAGATGCTTCTGCTGTAGTACATTTATACAGTGTACACAGTGGAATACTATGCAGCTGTAAAAAAGAAGGATCTCTTACCTTTTGCAACATCACGGACCTGGAGATTATTACGCTAAGTGAAATAAGCCAGTCAGAGAAGGACAAATATCATATGTGGAACCTAAAGAACAAAATAAAGCAATGAACAGGATAGCTCCAGAGGCATGGATGCATGGGACAGACTGACAGATCTCTGAGGGAAAGGGAGAGGGGAGGGTGGGAATAAATTAACCAAAGAACATATATGCATAGCCCTTGGACACAGACAATAGTGTGGTGGCAAAGGCCTGGGGTGTGGCTGGGGCTGGGTGAAGGGGGGCAAAGGAGGAAATGGAGGAGGGATGTCTGTAATACTGTCAACAATAAAAATAAATTTTTCTAAAGGGGGAAAAAAAAGTTAATGCTTTTGAAGGTTGACATTTAACAGTTACCACGACCCCTTCAGAAATAGATCTGGGCTGAGAGAAGAGTGCATTGAGGGGCCCCTGGGGCCTGTTTCTGTCTGGTGTGTGGCCCCCAAGGTCTCAGAAGGAGGATGTAATCGGATCTCTCAACACCCTCCCAGCACCTCTTAGAATTCAGAGGTGGTCACTGGGGAGGAAGTGGTTACATTTGCATTTCAGCCTAGGGGCCTGGGGACCAGGGTGGGGGTGTGTAATTGAGAC